TAATAAAATGATTTAAAAAAACCTTGCAATTTCGGAAACCCAGAGGGGCAGCTCCATTCTGTCCTATAGGGTCACTATGAGTATCCTTTAAAGAGCAGGAAGAATTGGACAGACGAACACACACACACAGAGCCAGGTGATAACAGAGGCAGAAATTGGGAGTAATACACCCACAAGTCAAGGAACAACAAAAACCGTGGGAGTAATACACCCACAAGTCAAGGAACAACAAAAACCGCCGCCATCTACCAGAAGCTGGAAGAGAGAGGCATGGAATAGATCTTTCTCAGAATCTCCAGAGAGTAACAAATTGACAATCCATTGGCTGCTAGCCTCTAGAACCATGAAAGAAATCCTGCTGATTTAATCTATCCAATTTGTGGTAATTTGTTATATCAGATCCAGGAAACAAACACACTAATACATGGCATTATATGGCTCTAAATTGGATTCTTTATTTAGAAGAACATTTTTGTGTCTAGTAATACTTTACAAATGTTATCTTGCTGTCAATAACACAAATTTCAAAAATTGTACAGGAATGGACTTGAAATTGTCACTAGACACTGCATGTCATTAACCTACATCAGAGGGGGATGATGGTGCAATGTGGAAAGTTATAGAAGCTGCAGGGGAAACTTTCATCTATGCACTCTATAAGATCCCATAAAACAGTGTGTCTGGGGCTTTCCCAACTCCTTCTTATGAATCCTACACTTTATAAAGAACTACTAGCTTGAATTGAGGGAAAGTAGCTCACATAGTCCTTTAAGAGCCTATTCAGCAATAAAATTTTGCCATGTATTCTTCAACTAAGCTACCGCCTCCATTTATTTAAAGGTTTCCCCAGCTATCTGAAAGTACAGCATTCCTATGAAACCTTTTGTAAGTCAAAATCGTGTAAAGAAGTAATTACTATTAATTTATATGGGCAAAATCTTTGAGCATTCTCAGACCTACCCAATCATATGAAGTAACACACGAAAACCTTCAGCAACATGAACACAGTGTTCATAGCCACAGTTCAAAATTAATGGCTTGATGCTGACACACCAAGTACAGACCCTGGAGAAGGAGGCTGGTGATGCCATTCTTGCTACATTAGAGTCCTGCTTCAGTATGGGCTTGCTGATTGCTAGTTTCAGTTTCCATCTTTCTTTGTAAAAATAAAATATTCTTTGGATTTCTTTCAGTTATAAAAAACAGGTATGCAACTTCGCTCTTTTGTAAAAGAAAAGGGCTGTAAAGCAAACTTTTAAAAAGCAGAGGGCATACCTCCATTTTTTCCCTCCTCTCTAGCAGAACTAAACTTTCTCTAATTTGTTGCTGTTAATCTATTTCAAAGAACCAAGTGAGTTTATACTGAGTGTAGCAGTAAAATAAAAGTATTTAAAGGATGACCCGTGAAAGCTATTTTAAGCTATCTCAACTAAGAAATAAAAAATATTCATATAAAGAAGTATCCCTTCCTAAATAGATTCATATAGAGGAATACTTTTGCTCAATAGGCAATAAGCATCTTATTAATCTGAAATAATTTTTGCCAACAATGTAAAAAAATATGAAAAATGCTCCACAATTTTATACCACTCAACCTATATATATAGATATGTAATATATATATACCTACATCGACTCCAAGATCTAGGAGGTACTTGACTACACTGATCATGCCACTTGAAGCTGCTGCATGAAGAGGTGTGTAAGACTTCTTATCCTTGCATGTCACTTCTGCTCCATGTGCCACAAGTAATTTCACTACTTCAATGTGACCTGAAAATTTATGAAGGAAAAAAAAAGGATAAACATAAAAAATATTATATTATTCTGTAGTCTTGAAAGTAAAAATGCGAATTAACTACATAATGTATGACCATCTCATCTGAGAAAAAGAAAAAGGTAAGATTTCTGGATAATATAAAATTAAATCTGGAAAAAAATAGATGGGATTGTTTTATCAATGATAACACTGTCATTTATAATCCTACATCTGTAATTTTTCCAACAATGTCTTGCTTTTTTCAAGGTTGATTGAATATATTATGTTCTGATGCTAGCTGCTTATGCCTAATGTTGGCACTAGTTTTTATTTTTTTCTTGTTTGTAAAGATAGATCAATTTTTGCAGTTTCTTACTTCTAAATCTGGGAGTGGTATGAGTTTCTTGAAAATGTTAGATTTTTATAAAAGGCAGTTAAAAATATTTTTTCCTTAAATCTTTACCAGTTCTGCCTTACCAACTATGATACTTACACATTTTATTAGTCAGAGTATACTAGGTTACATTGTGCTGTGGTTAGAAACCAACTCCCCAATTTCAGTAACTTAAACAACTATAATTTTATTTCTCATCGACACTATGATAGGTTGGCAAGAGGGTGCTGCTCAGTCATTCAAGTAATCACTCAAACAACCATTATCATCTTGAATATGGCCAATTTCCATGCTGGAGGGGAAAATGAACTGTGTATAACCTCTTATCACAGCAATTATGTGCTCTAACTCAAAAGTGATGTTGCTTTCAATTCATTGACCAAAATACATCTTAAGACCTCACCCAAACAAGAGGTCCAGGAAGAACTGTATCTGAAGGTGGGAAAATCACTATTATCTTTTCTAATTAAACCAGATTACATTTTCAGTACTCTCTCCATCCCACATCATGACTCTTATTCTGTGCCATTTTTCATGTACTGTATGCAATGCTATGCTTCAGTGTCTTCCCAATCACTCCTACGAATCCATCAAGACCCAAATCAGATCCCAACTTCTTTGATGAACACAGTCACTGTTTTTCCAAGAAGTCCTGTATGTCAAAAGCACCAAATATTTATGATTCCCATCTAACAATTACATATCGCCTTGCAATGTTTTCAATGTCTGAATCATTATTTAACCAACTTTTATTTGTAAGTGCTAGTTTTCCCAAAAAAGTTATACAACCTCAAAAGCAGAGACTGTATTATATGTTCTACTTCTTGGTAAGGCAGGCAGGCAGGCAGTAGTGTTTTGTTGTTTTTTTATATCATTTTATTAGGGGCTCATACAACTCTTACCACAATCCATACACACATCAATTGTGTAAAGCGCACTTGTACATTCATTGCCCTCATCATTCTCAAAACATTTCCTCTCCACTTAAGCCCCCCGCATTAGGTCCTCACTTTTTCCCTCCCTCCTCCCTCATGAGCCCTTGATAGTTTATAAATTGTCATTTTGTCATATCTTGCCCTGTCCGACGTCTCCCTTCACCTACTTTTCTATTGTCAGTCACCAAGGGAGGAGGTCACATACAGTTCCTTATAATCGGTTCCCTCTTTTCTACCTACTCTCCCTCTACCCTCCGTTTCGCCACTCACACCACTGGTCCTGTAGGGCTCATCTGTCCTGGATTCCCCGTATTTTCAGTTCCTATCTGTACCAGTGTACATCCTCTGGTCTAGCCAGACTTGCAAGGTC